AGAATTATACAGGATACAGTTGAGAGAATTGCTAAAAAGATCTTGGGAGTAAAAGGTTTTAGAAAGGTAAAGGTATCACCAAAAGGAAGAGCATGTTACACGCCAAGTCTACTGGTAAAGTTGCGGGTATGTTACACCAAAGCCAGGTGATGTTACGTTTGTGAAAAAATTAATGGATATAAGAAGAAAATCAGTCAATTTTCGCGCAAACCCACAAAGTAACTTCACTGCAAAGTTTCTCAGAAATTAAGAACGATCATGAAGACACTGCAAACATAACCTTTATACGTACATTACACGTTGCTTTCCAATTCCTTCTTGACTGGAATAGCAAAAGGAGTAGGCTAAGGTAATTTTACAATGTGCATTTTTTACTACTCAACAGTTCTGCAGAGTCCTTCATAGCCCCTCCTCCACTAACATTCGCTCCCAATGGCTTTAAGACAATATACACCTAACTGTGTACTTCGGAACAACTACTTACCTCTTAAAAATTGACTAAATGTCTCTTAATTTAATTTTGAATCACTTTCTAACATACTCTAATGATTTGATTTAGCTCTCTCCTCCCTGAATTTTTTTTTGTTAATAAGGCCGATATTCTAATAGGCACCCCTATTCAGTTTGCACCCTCATTCCAATAAAAGCCCCTGCACCAAAAAAACACCCTATTCCAATAAGCGCCCCCTACTCTGTTTCGGTGATAGCACTGTTCACGCACATCTACATTCAGATTAACCATGGCTAATCTTCCTTAATCTTCTTCTAATCTTCCTTAAAGCCTCCTTTAAAAAAAAACTGTTGTCTTCATCTCAATCTGACGACACTGGTCCCCCTACTTCATCCATATGAATTTGGAAAGAATGCAGCTAAAATGTAGCACTTATCTTTGTGTCTACAAAATCAAGAGTACTAATCAAGACAACTTTATTTACGAGGAATTCTTCTTCCAACAAGACGGTTTGCATGATTTTTAACACCATCTAGTGTAACAAGGCCCCCAGGGTCACAAAAAAACTTTGCAGTTCCAGAAGATATGTCTGAGGGCAGATCAGGTATGAACAAGAAACAGCAAGGCACTCCACCCTATTTAGGTAGAATTAGAATTTCACCTTAACTTTTCAAGAAACATTCACTTGTGATTGTCATTATCTAGATCATAATCATACAAACGTAGGAGATTGAACTGATTTCAGCTGCTATCAAAGCTAATTTGTACAAAAATACAGACCACAGCCAGAGAAAAAAAAACTTCTTCAGCATGCAAAGAAAGTCCTTCTAATTTTACATCTTTAAATATTAAAGCCACAAGGAACAAAGATGCATGGTATTTACCTTGAAATGTAAAACACCAAACAACCAAAATGTGGCAGACATCAAACTTAATACTATTTAGCTCTCTTACTAACAGAAAAGACCCAAAAGAGTGCAATCTAGAAGCTATCCCCACCACTTGATACATGACAGAAACTTGACTCTTAATTAGTGACCAAAAATACCCCATTTCATACCATAGTGTAGCTTTTATATTTCCCACACAGTCAGCTCAGTCTATCCAATGTTATCAGAATACAATTACTTCTTTATATATATTTGGTCAGGTTTGAATAAGAAAAAAATGGACACTGTCTATCCTACCTAAAAAAAAAACATAAAGTCAACTTTTTCACAGATTAAAATATAATAAAATTACAATTTTTTTTTACCTCCAAAGGTATCATTGCTGGTTCAATGGTTATGTCATAGCTGCCAATCCCTGATAGGTTCAAAGATGAATTTCCATAATTATGGGATAAATGAAAAAAGATTGTCAACGATTCAATGAAGAATGATTCAAATGATGGTGTCTACCACTGTCAAAGTCACTTGTAATTAAGGATAGTTAATTTTCTTCACCTAGCTCACTTATACAAACAAACCAGCAGTTTCTCAGATGATGATCAGAATTATCAGAGATTCTCATCCTTAAGAGCCACTGACCATAAATATTGAGAATATGCCCACAGTTGCTTGCAGATAGTCCTTTTAACTCTTCAAAAATAAAAATTTCTTGTTATGTTGAAGTCTGAATAGTGACCTGTTAAAATAATATACCCTGTTTCTTTTTCTTGTTTGGCTGAGGTAAAATATAGGTCAACTTCAACTACCTATGAAGAGGTGTGCCATATACATTTACAATTATGATATACATCACCTCACAGCTTTATCCTTGTAGACTAATTCTTCTAATTATTTAAATGTATCTTAGCCCATCATATGTGGCACATCCAGGTTGAAAAGAGTTTGGGCTGGTATGACAAAATGCTATGCGAACTGCTGGATGACTGTCACTGCCTATTCAAAGGCCTTTAAAAAGGTCTGGCATGTATATTCAAAAATCAAAATATACACATCTTTAAACTTTATCCTTGTAGTGTAATTCCTTAAATTTCTTTCTTGGTCCACCATAAGCAGTGCATCCATGTTGAAAAGAGTCTGGGCTATCATGACAACAAATGTAATAAGATTCATTGAATGGCTGTCATGCAAGATGTCATGTACATGGTACATTTCTGCCAATCTGAGAGATTGGCCAAGACCTCTCTTGTGACTGATTGCAATGCACTGTTTTTTTGATTTAGCCCCAGACTTAAACGTAACAACATAACAAGAAGTTTATACTTTCAAAGAAATAAAAGGACAATCTGCTTACAAACAAAATTTAAAAAGTGCCATTTAAAGTGCACCATAAAACATTATAAAACATATAATTTTTGAAAAAGGTTCATCAAGACGGTCCTTAGGAAAAAATAAAAAAATAAAAAACCAAATATTCAATTGTTAGCTGATTTTCAAAATTTATGTCAGTGGCTCTTAACATGCAAAACAGATGCATGGGTGAGGTAAAGCCACAAGCCTTTGGAAGCTTTAGGAGGGGAAAAGCATCCTATCCTAAATTTTATAACTAAATTAGGCCCCTGTGAAGATGTCATTTCCTGCAGTTTGAGATCACCAACAATGCATGCACAAGGGTTTGCACAATCAATTTTTCCGCACCCTTAAGGTAAAAACAAATAGCTAATAGAGACTCAAATAAACAGCAAAGGATTGCCCTAAAATGCTGACCAGGGAAATCTTCCTTTTCCAGGTAAAGTTACCGAAAAAAAAAACCAGGAGAATACTTAGCAATATGAAAATGAAGCAGATAACTGCTGAACATGGGAACTTTTTCAGCCAAAATACNACCTACATGTTTAAACTACAGTACTTACCACTGTTAGAATTATCCCAAAATGGAAGCCATGATCTCAAATAAGACCACAAGTCACTTCTTTTACTACCAAATGTGGAACCTTTCAATCAGGAACAGAAGCTTTTTAGTGTAAAACCCAATTTCATTTTGTTCCACAAATGACCCAATAACTAATTGCATAGATTACTTTATGATTACAACCATCCCAATAAAATCAATGACCTTGATTATGTATAATCACCAAACATTAAAATTAAACCAAAACAAAAACTTCAACTAAAACTGTGTAGGCTTAAACCAAATTTTAGCCACCACATCTCGCACAGAGAAACAGCACATTCCTTCAAATAGGCCTCCCTTCTTAAGTAAACTTGGACCTGTTAGTGGATCAATTTTAGCCCCATAGAAGTCTCTCTACAGAAAGCCTTGTCCCTCACCTACCTTGGCTGGATTGTAAAAGGTGCTGATTATCCACTATTGAATTACCTCCAACATTTTGTTTTTCTTCCACCACCTTCCCATTTGGTGAATCAGTTCTGCCATTTTCAGTTTCAGTTGCACACTGATCACCTCTTTCACCTATTATGATAAATAATTCAGATAATTCAGAAAAATGAAACAAACTGAGAAATGGAATCAAACTTAGTTGTAAATGTTTGATTTCCTGTGCACTAGCTAGGTCCAGTCTCTGCCAAGGTTTTGTAATTCAACACTAGGTCATGCCACGGCTTAAATCTGGGCGCGACGAAAGTGCTGTCCGATAGCCCGGGGCTAGTGGAATGTCTTCTCGGGCTAGCTTTTTCTTATCCCAGCTTGGCAAGCACCACCATTGGTTCCTCTGTTCTGATGATGATAAATTGAGCTTTTATACCAAAAATTGTATAGTAGAAAGTTCCTGAGGGAAAAGGACAACGTTATGAGGCCAAATTATCGTAGCATGACAACGTCTTGCGCCGCATTTTTGTTGCGTCCCTAAATAACGTCGTCACTTTTTCTGTTTACATAAGCGGCCGAAATATATTTTTTGAAATGACAATATTTGCCGACTGACAGCGTGCAGTGCAAGACAATCAGTCTAATTAAATTCCAGCCAAGTCACGGTTCAGTGGATTTTCTCGGAATTTTAGGTGCGTTTCGTTGGGAAAATCCAAATCCGGATTCTTGTTTCTATTTTAAGGCTGCCAATTCATTATTAAAACGAAAAAGGCCCACTTCGTGTAAAATTAAAAAACAAGAAAAAACTCGCTTGATGAAAAGCTAGCAGACCTGGCGCCGTTATCGTGTTGCGTGTTTGTTTTCATTTTTTATCGGATGCTAACGGGCGCCAGGTCTGGAAGAGTTTGTCAGCTTGACGAGCTTTGAAGAGAATTTACTCCATCGGATGTCGACAGACTTCAGACTACAGTGGTAGTTTAATTGACTGATCGCAACATTCATGACATTCACAAAAATAACTGTGTTGTGATTTCCATAAATTTATAGTATTTTTCACCGTTGACGGGGTAAAATATAAACGTCGAAGGAACGAACCCATTTGAGTGCAGAGGTTATTTTTCCTTTATTATTTCCCCCATGTTTGAATGAAATTTTATTCTGAAGCAGTCATTTGCAATTTATAAAAAATTTCTGGTCTTACAAAGCGAAACAATTGTAAGAATCAAAATATGCGAAGAATTAGTTTATATCTATGCTTGGCATCATTAATTGTATTTTGCATAATTAAATAAATCTAATTCTTAAAAACTGGATCATTGGATAATGCAATTCAAGACTTTTTATTGGCATAGCCATTATGGTATATCAGCCAATATACCATAATCTACAAATATGGTAAGCGTACGCATCAGCTTAAAATCAAAAGGGAGCTAAAAAATCCAGTTTCTTCTTACAAAATAATAATTTCTTGGGGGCGTTTTTAATAAAACAATTATTCCACTCGCGCTTGTTGGATATGAGATGATTATAGCCAACTCGGCGCTACGCGCCTCGTTGGCTATCTATCATCTCATATCCAACGCGCGCTCGTGGAATAATTGTTAAATATACAAAGCGCGCGTAGCCTTAGTGCGTTCTC